TTTCTATTGGATACTCAGCAGTACATACTAACTGGAGTTATTATACTTTTGTGTCCTACTACAAAACACTATTACTATTACCAATTTCTTGACACAATCACTACTACCAATTCCTTGACACAATGCAACTACTATCACTATTACCAATTCTTTGATACAAACATTACTACCACCAATGCCTTGACACAATCACTGCTACTTCTACCAACAATTCCTTGATATAATCACCACCACCACCACTGATTTCTTGACAAACACTGGTGCAATCACAAATTGCACAGAAGTTATGTGGCAAAGATATAATTAAATAACCAAAGCATTGCATGGCCAAACAAATCCTGATATGATGGATGATTATTTTGCAGGGTTTATATGAAATCAAAAATTCAAAGACTTAAATTTTACCATTTTTGGTAATGGAGGCCTGCGAAAGCATTTGAGAATGTGTGGGAGAATTTGAAAGTGTGCTATCAATGATCCAATTGGTGCATGCATGTGTAGAAGCAAGCAGAAGACATTTTGAACATTTGCTATAAGTTGCTCTGTTGAGATACAATGATGGTCTTTTGGACATATGTTTATATGTTCATTTTACCTTGTTTTGATGTCAGGAACCCGCCACCCAAATTTGTAAAAGTATTTTTGATACACCGTGTGTGTGTGTATATATATATATATATATATATATATATATATACACACACACGTGTATGTGTGTGATTGTAGGATGTATAATAGTATTTGAAACAAACAAAAATGAAGATGAGACAAAATGGAAAATTTTATTAGCAATGTATTTCACTAGACAGCACATGCTCTCTTTGGCTTCCTCAGATTAAAATGAAAGAATGACAAAACTGTATAAGAAAAATGCCTTGGGATCTCTGAGGATAAGTGGGAATCATAAATCAAATTACTTTAGTTTATCACCTCCCAATGTCCAAAGTTAGAGTGTGTCTGTCCACCTATGTGTTTGTTTTATCTATATTAGAACTGCTTGGTATATTAGGATTTTAAATCAGGAATTAAATTCCCCAGTAATAAAATTTTCCACTTTGTCTCATCTTCACGTATATCAGCTATGGATCTATGCATTGTTTGAATTTGAACTTTTCTCAGTAAACTTGTAAGAACAGTTTAGGGTTTATAACCTTAGTAAATAAATGTATGGTATTTTTTTCTTTATAATACCTCTTTTTTTTTTTTATCCCATGAAAATACTTTTTTAGATTTCTCATTGATGAGGCATCATGTAAGTTATAAAAATTCTATATGAATTCTGGTAAGTTTTTAAGATATCTGGTAAGGAGATGACTTGCACATAAATGAATACGTGGGAGATTAATATAACAGGTGTGAGGAATTTTGCTTACTTCTTTTATTTTTGACTCCCCAAATTTCATATAAATTTGTCCAACTTTCAATACCTTCTCCATTATGACATTCAATTTTTCTTAGATTTCCTTCTCTTGTTTGATGTTTACAGCATTGTACCTTCTCTTGTCAGGTGGGCACAGAATTATAAACATTTTTTTTTTTAATTGAACAGTTTACAAAGAAACAAGTCAATTATACTTAAAATCCCTCTGCTTCTAGGTGTGTCCATTAAAATAATGAATTTTATTTTATTGGAATATTAGTCATCAAGAATAGTCATTTTGTAGGACCACTTGTGTAAGAACAGAACCAATACCTTGTATTTTGATATAAATCTATTTTATAATGAACAACTATCTTTAATAATTAAAGTTTGTAGCTCCAATGTGTTCTACTTAAAGAGAATCCATTGTAAAACTCAAAATCAGGGCTCTTAGTGAAAGCATTATTTTTTTTGGGGGTTTCATAGTTTGTCATCTGTTCATCCATATATAAAATAAAAGAATGCTGAATCATTGAAATGAATTGAACAAAATAAATCAAAGGAATATAATGAACAGTTAATGAAGGCATTTGTATCTATAGATTTATTAATAAAAAAGACCATGTAACAGCCTTGTATACATAAGAATTTTATTATCATTTAAAAAACAAAGTAAAATTTAGTGCTTATAAAAACAAGCATTATATTCCAAAAAAATGAAAGGATTATTTCTATAGATCAACTCTTGTCTAGGATCAAACCATATCAGACTAAAGTAATGTTTTTGTTGATAGAATTATATATAGGAAGTGAGGGGGTGGGGTATATATAAACCGAAGCATTGGTTATAATTAGGCACTGATAGGAAACACTGATGTTGGAATGCTGAAATTAAAATTCCATGTTTCTTATAATGGTGAATAATTAAAACTGATGCTTGCATTTTTGTATCTCCTACACATTTATAATTCCGTTATAAAAATACACATTACTTTAATCGCTGAAATCTTTCTGGAGAATGAAATGAGTTACACAGAATTTTTTCCACTTTGTGATTCATTTACCTAAGATTTTGTGATTTATAGTAATTTATGTCACACATTCCCATTTATAAAAGCGAATAAATTGAATTTTCAGCTGAGGTTTTCATTATCACTTTACATGTTCTGCAAATAAGGTTGCCTTATGTTTTATTTTTATGACACAAAATCATTTTTGACATTAAAAATGTTTATTTGGAAAAATTCCTCTTTGACTTATCACTTGCCAATGTCAATTTTACTTATAGAGGAGGTGCTGAAAAGTTTTCCCTCTTAATCACTTTCCCAAATTGGTATTCTGTTTGGTTGTTAAAATATTGATGTTTTTTGTTTTTTCTTTGTAAATATGGATTAGACAAGAATGTTTCAGCCCTTATTAATATATAATCATCTGTTGAATCATTATAGCATTCGTTTTTTTCTTTTTCTTTTTTTTTCCAGATATATTTCATTCTCATTTCTCTTAAAACTTTTTTGTATTATTTTTCAAACATTACATTTATTCATTAAAATACAAAAATAAAATAGTTAAAATGAATTTCATTTCATGTGTACAAGTTAAAAAAAAAAAAACTATTTAAATAGTTTGATTGCTTTTTACAGCTTATCAGTCTTTTGCAGGTTATTTAAGGCCCAAAAATATTTTTAGATTCTTAGATATTTTTTTAAGTAAAAATTGGTTTACTAATACAAGTCCTACAAATGAAGTCAGGGCTGGGGTGGGGTTGAAAAGGTGGATTCATATCATATTTTTTCCCCAAGGATATTTGCACGTAAGTGAATATAACAAACCCAACTGGAATTGGAACTAGGTTCTTCAATTTCCAATTCCAAGTTGTTATCCATTATAACACCCACACATCCAAACTTACAGCACCCAGTATTCCCAAGCAGTCACCCATTTAAATAGTTGTTTATGTTCACTGGAGTGACTGATATACATAATATAAAATAGTATATTTTTGGTGGACTTGTAGCTTGTATAAGAAAGAATTCTCCCTTTGGCATGATTATAATCATGAATTATAAAATTTTAATTTCCTTGCTGTTCATTTAAAAAAGAAAAAAAAAAAAGTAAATTGACTGAATACATTGAATAAATTTCTTTTTTTATTCTGATCTCTTGATAATAGATTTCTAAGTGCAGATAAACTAATTGTGTTAATAAGTTAAGACCCTCTTGATTGCTGCACTATTGATTTACTTTGTCATAATATCTGCTAGTAACAATTTTTTAAAATCATTTCATATTTTCTGTGAGTGTGATGCTTATGCAAACAAGCTACAATTTGAAGATGTGCAATTATATTTTAAATTGGATTAACAAATTAATCTGTCCATCTAATAAAATATTGTTTTGAATTAATACTATTCATATTTCGTTCGCTCAATATTTGATATAATTGTCAACTTTTATTAACTTGTAGATAAGTTTGGAGTATTAGAGGGTAAAATGTTGAGCTGATTGTAAAACCAAAAATGTCTGTATATAGTCAGGTTTCTTGAATTAACATCTGTTAGTAAAGACATGCAGAGAACAAAGTAATGATTTGTTTGTAAACTTTAGGAACTGTTAATGTAGGTAACTTATTTATTACACTTGAATACCTTCAAATTGTTTGAGTTTATTCCATATAATTTTCAGACAATTATCTTCACTTTGGCTGTGAATATATTAGTTAAATTTTAACTTCTGAGATTGCTGGCAACAATGTACAACTGAGGAAAACTATATATATATATATATATATATAATGTACTAAAACATTCTGTCAACAATACAAAGACAATAATGTGAAAAATACATGAAAATACTTCCATCTTAGAATTCAGGTAATCAAGATTTTTTTTTTCACCTCTTACTTTTAGAAAACTGCATAATTTTTCTTTTTTTTTTCTTTTTTTTCTTCTTTCAAGTAATTTTTACTTGGTATAATAGCTCATGAATTTTTTTCTAATTTTAGATTGGAAAATAGAATATGAACAGGATTTTTATCACAAATCCATTAATAATAATACTTTTATGTGAGAACAAAGAAATTTTTTTTTTTTAAAATCAAGTTACCATGTTTTATTCATTATGATGGATGAGTGATTTTTAATTGTAACTGTTTTAGAATTGTTACTTACTTTTGAAACTGTCCATTTAAATTTTGATGCAACTAAATTCTTGTTAACTCTCATATTTTGAAGTTCTTGAGTAAAACCTACAAAATAAATCTTAAATCTGCAGTAAAATATTTATTTCTTTATTTTTAACTTTCAGGATTGTCCTAAAGAGGATGTGCAATGATATTCAGAAAAGGAGGAAAACTTGCTTATTATCAATTGATTGATTCATTCATTTTCTACAGCATATTAACCCATTGTAGGTTATTTAAAACCAGAAAATATTTTTAGATCATAAGAATTGTTTTTTTTATAGATAATGATTTAATGATATAAGTTTAACTAATTAGCCCATAGCTGGGGGGTGTAGCCCTTTCCCAAGAGTATTTGAGTGCATGTTAATATATGAAACCCAACAGTAATTGGAACCTAGCTCTCCAATTAACAATTCCAAGCCATTTACATTGCACCATCTGCACATCCATGCTTAAAACACCTGGTATTCCCAAGTGGTCACCCATCTCGGTACTGACCAAGCTTGACATTGCTTAACTTCAGTGTTTGTATGGGGACTGTTGTTTCAATATATGATATGGCCATACGCTCGAGATATTTAGTTGCATCTAGCACAAGGCTTAATGAGATGAAGAGTTTGGAAGATTGTATTGTTCCAGTCTTTCAAGTCACTTGAATCTGCTTGCCTTGAAAATCAGCATTAAAAATCAAAGCTTATGAGCTGGATTCAAACACTGACCATTAGTACTAGTGGGAAATGGGCCACTCTCAGTCTGAAAGCAGCTTCCTTGTAGAATCAATTTTATCCTGTGCTTACTTTAAACACAGGATAAAATTGAGTTTTTCCAGAATAGAACACTAAACTAATGTAACAAGATATACTTTTGTGGGTCTTTCTCTAATATGGTTGGCCAATATGAAATGTATCATTGTAAAAAGAAATATGTTTGATATGGACTTGAATGTGAAATGTTGCATTGGCTTTATTTTCCCACAACCCATGGATACTTTTATACTACAGTTTATCCCTAAAGTTTGGACACTCTAGGCAAAAATGCATATTTTCAAGAAATTAAATTTTCAACAATTTATTGAATTGGAATTTTAACAAATAACATCTTCAATATGATTTCCATCACTTATGCAAAGGTTGAAGTGCTTTGCAAGATTCACAAGAACTCTATGCAATAACTCCACATTGCTATCAATTTTAGCACATGCATTCAATCAAGTGTATTGCATCTGTGATTTTCATTCAGTACACCTTCTCCTTTATCATACCCCAGAAAAAGAAGTCAATTTCTTTTTCTTTTGATAAAACTTTATTTAATCTGTGGAGGTAAAAAAAAAAATAAAAATATAGTTGATGAGATTTGCCCAGACTTTAGGGACACCCTATATTATAGTCATTTAACCAGTACAAAATCTTTGCAAAAATTATTAAAAGAATACCATACACTAAATTTTGTAATGCCTATTTATAGGAGAGACTTTGTAAATCACAGATACAATAATAGTAATGCCTTTGAACAATATTCAGTCAGACACTGCTAATTCCCATATATATATATTTTTCCTTTACCTGTCACGTGATCTAATTATTTCAAGATGAGGTCAACTGTGCTTGCTCTCTGGTGATCTTTGATCAAATCCAAATGTCCTATATGATACTAAATTAATCTCTTGTGATTTTGTAATTTTCATCAGCGGAAGGCAGTGCATAATGTTTCATTTCAAATTCATATATAATTTGTTTCTGTTTATAACTCATAACTGACAAATATTTTTCATATACCTAAGAGGTGGTGCTTTTAGTCCTTTGGGCCAGAGATTTAAGCTGTGAATGAAAAAGGTACACACCGCTTCAAATGTTTATATTTATACATAAATATATATGGTATATGTTTTAAAGATATATCCTCTTGAAAGGAACACAGGATTTCTATAGTTATTGAAAAATATGCAAATAAATTCTTTATCTTATACTACAATTAGCAAATTAGGTAATAAAAGACTGATTCAGTTAGAAACTGATCTGGATCAATAAACACCTGAAGAAGGTCAGAGGATACAATAGCCATAATATGATAACAAAAGATTAGGACAATAGTCCAAATGTAAATAATAATAATAAACTGTTATATTTTTTTCCCTAAATGCCAAGTCCTTTCAGGACATAGTGACTATATCTCTCTTTGGCTTGTTGGAAAGATGATGATGTTTTGGATTATTGCAAAAGTTTGTGCCTCATTTCCATTATTAATATAAAATGACTGCAACTTGACATTGGTGTTTATGGTGCCAATTTCTGGTGTGTTCTTGACTGAAACTTTGCATTGTTCAGTTGCAAGTCAGACTTTGTTGAATGTTGACATTTTTTTCCACAAATGAATGCCTTAAAGATGGAGGATGAAAAATTGCTCTTTCCTCATATTATGCTCTATGAATTTTAGAAAGGTGTAAGCATCAGAACTGTGACAAAAAAAAAACCTTCAGAAGGTTTATTTGGATTATGCTTCAGCTCTTTGGATGGTAAAAAAATGGTTTGGCAGATTTCGTCAGGGTGATTTTAAAGTGAACAATCAAGAATGTTGATGACATTCTGCTTGTCATTGTAGAAAATAAACCAAAGATTTCAGCAGAAGAGATTCCTGAAAGTTTGAAAATTGATAACTCAACTGCCTTTTGCCATTTGAAGAGACTTGAGTTTGTTTCTAAAATTGACATGAGTGCGCTACATTCTCTGATGGGAGAGATTGTGCTTCTGTGACAATTTCTTTGCTGTTAAACCATGTAAAGGAATTGTTCTTTGAAAAATAGATTGTTTATGATAAGGTTTGATACAAATGATGCTGGAAACAAGCTTTGTGAATTTGCAGGCTTGCAATCCAATAAATATGTTGTCCTTTTGGTGGGATTGCAGAGGAATATTTCACATTAAGCATCTTTCAACTGGTGAAATATTTCACATTAAGCATCTTTCAACTGGTGAAATATTTCACATTAAGCATCTTTCAACTGGTGAAATATTTCACATTAAGCATCTTTTCAACTGGTGAAATATTTCACATTAAGCATCTTTCAACTGGTGAAATATTTCACATTAAGCATCTTTCAACTGGTGAAATATTTCACATTAAGCATCTTTCAACTGGTGAAATATTTCACATTAAGCATCTTTTCAACTGGTGAAATATTTCACATTAAGCATCTTTCAACTGGTGAAATATTTCACATTAAGCATCTTTCAACTGGTGAAATATTTCACATTAAGCATCTTTCAACTGGTGAAATATTTCACATTAAGCATCTTTCAACTGGTGAAATATTTCACATTAAGCATCTTTCAACTGGTGAAATATTTCACATTAAGCATCTTTCAACTGGTGAAATAATAACCACAAAGAAGTATCACAACCAACAAATCTCAATGTTGCACTGATTTGACAAATCAAAAAGGTGTCATTTTCTATCATGACAATGTTGTAAAACAGACCTTGAAAAAGCTTAGAGTTGAAATGGGGACCCCGCCCTCGAGCACCCACGAGATTCTCCTGAATGGCTCCTTCAAATTTTCATTTGTTCCAGTTTCTACAAAATAATTTAAATGATAAAAAAATTTGACTCTGACAGTCAGTTGAAAACTATCTACCAGCACCCCCCCCAAAAAAAAACCATGAAGTTTCTATGAAAATAGTATTAATAAAGTTGTTGAATGATGGAAAACAGTCTCCATTGTTTTAAAAACTATGTACTTGACTATTTTTTTTTTTTTTTTGTGTGTGTGAATGTCAAATTTTATTTTGAATTTTCTGATTGGGCACAAACTTTTGTAATGATCTCATAGTTTCCCATTGCCTTCTTCACAGTTTCAAATTCAGTCCTCCTCCTCTTCCTCTTCAACTAGCCTGCTACCCAAGGCAAGAGAGCCTTGTCTACCTTCCTAATAAGACTATAGTTAAGGGTGGGGAGAGGTGACTTCAATGTTTTACCCAAGGGCATTAAAGTGAATACCAATTCCACTTTCTACACCAATTAATGTTCCATGACCTGCACATCCTATATATTATTTAAATTTCCTGGAACACAAAGTGGGAAATTAGCTCTCTGCTTGTATTTTCAGCAATTAATTTTAGATTTATATTTTAAAGCCAATTAATTAGTAATGAGATTTAATTCTGCTCAGGTACAGAAACAATTGAAATAACAGATTTGGGAATGGCTGTTGTAACAATCTTAGTCCCTGAAAAATGATTTCATTGCTTCAAACATTCTGCACATTTTGCAATAAGCTTATATGATAATGAAGGTAAGAGAAACGGTTGTATTTTAAAATGAAAAGTCTTGATATTGTTAGAATTTACCATATATTTTTATAGGATATGAAAATATTATGCAATATTTTTACAAGGTAATTCCTCATGAAAATGAAATTAATCAATTGATTAAAAATGAATGCTTCTATTTTTATTGTTCATTAATTAGTTCAGCTACAAATTAGAATAATTATAAAAGATTTTTTCTTCTCCAAACTTCACCCTCCCAACTTGTAAAACACTTCTCATTCAAATTAAAAAATACTCTTGATATAAGTATGGGGAGATGTCAACAAATAAAACAATCATATCTGTACTGATGAGTTAAAAAAAAAATTACCATCTGCCCAGTAACGTGTTTGAAAAACAACTCTTACCTAATCGGGCATAAACTCTATAAGACTACATGGTTTCCTTTGCAATCAGATGCCAGGATTTTAACATACAGCAATTAAAGAACCTGCTATTATATGGTGTAAGTTCTGCAGATTTTTGGTCAAACATATTTCCCAGGTGTTTTTGTTCCTGAAATCACTCCAATATGCAGTTTGACAGGGCACATTGTCCTGCTGAAAAAAAAGGCCACTGCCATCATAGCCTAAAGAGGTGTACCTGTTTTTTTGGTATATTTTTTTTTTTTTTTAATTGATGTTGAGGCTGGAGAGAGATGACCTCCCTCATGAATAGCAGGGTCCAGTATTTTCCAGCAGAACATTGTCCAAACTATTATACCGCCCCCCCCCATGTAGTTCAAGATATACTATATTTATGGGATAAAGTGCTCAATATCAGAGATAGAGCGTATGTAAAAACTAAAGTGAACATTGTAGTCAGTTTTTCTCAACTATTTATATATACAGGTCAGTGGTGTATTGTGGGTAGTCTCTTCTAATGGTTATTTTGGCAGGAGTGGTTTGTTAATTTGTTTATTTACTTTAGTTATTTAGATTAATTTATTTTACTTGTTTTTGCTTATTTTATTCTATTTATTTTTATTTATTCTTTTCAGTTTTTGATTTTTAAGCAATATAGTTTTCGGGTTTGCATTTTAAGATGAGTTCTGATCTTTTTAGTAGTTTTTTTTTGACTGAGAAGATAATTATAGCTATTTTTTCCTCCAAGCAGAGTTTGCAGTTTTTGGATTAATTGTTGTAAGCTAATGTTCTTTTCCTTAATTACTAGGATATTTTTGGTGTGATTAGCTTTTTGTTTTTAATTTCCCAGATATACTTGGAAAGCATTATGCTGTTTGCGTACTTACTATTTGTGA